CTGGGAGCAGGCCTAAGCCAGCAGGTCATTATCTCCCGAGGAGTCCCAGACTGCGAGAGGGCACAGGCCAGGCTGAGGGACCCCCTCTCCCCCCCGAGTGCACAAATTTTTATGCACCGGGCCTCTACTGTATATATATAAAAGCCAAGCAACCGGAACAACTAGAATGACAGGAACAACTGGTCACTGTGACATGCACTGTAGCCCTCCATTGGCCCAATCGGGGGCAGGGCCGGCTAGCTAACCTCCTGTGTCCCCTCCCCCCAGCCAGCTGGCTCCGATTGGCCCCAATCAGGGTGGGCCGGCTGGACCCCACCTGTGCACGAATTCGTGCACTGGGCCTCTGGTCCTGTCTAATAATAAACAAACATGGTAATTAATCATACCTTCACTACCATCGCCATTGGCTGATCAGCGCGATATGCATATTAACCGCCAACAAAGATGGCGGCTAATTTGCATACTGCAGGCAGGGCGGGACACCGGGAACCGCCATCCAGGCCCCTGTGTGCAACCCAAGCCGCCGGACGGGCCGAAGGGAAGGCGGCCCCCTGGGACCCAGGAGCCGCCTTGCCTGCGGCCTGTGATCATGATCGTGATCGGAAAGCCAGGCCGCAGGCAAGGCAGCCCCCTGGGACCCAGGAGCCCATCGGCAAGGTCTGCAGGTGAAGCAGCGATCAAGCTATGAGGGGAGAGGGTGGGGGGCGGAAGGAGCTATAGGAGCAGCTCTGGCCGAAGACTGAAGACTCCGGCTGGAGCGAGGAGCAAAGACTGAAGGCTCCAGCCTCAGCGAAGATTGTGTCCAGAGCGAAGACGGAAGGCGGTGGCCAGAGTGAAGGTCTGGGTCCCAGGTGCCAGAGGAAAACTGGTGCTGGCAGCCAGGGGAAAGAAGGCCTATTGCACGAATCTTCGTGCAACGGGCCTCTAGTATATATATATTTTGAGAGAGAGGGAGAAGGATAGAGAGATAGAAACATCATCGATTGGCTGCCTCCTACATACCCCTACTGGGGATCGAGCCCATAACCCGGGCATGTGCCCTGACAGGAATTGAACCAGCGACCTCTTGGTTCATGAGTTGATGCTCAACCACTGAGCCACATCAGCTGGGCATCAGGCACTATTTTAGATGCTAAAGAGACAGATATAAGATATGGCTTCTGCCATCATGAAGCTCACAGACTATAAAAAGAGCCATATAAACCATTAAATTCGGAAAAATATATTACAGTAAGTTATAGAATAAGAGGACAAGTGAGAAGAGTGGCCAGTGGTAGGATAACTTGTTCAGCTAAGTTGGTTGGCTTTTTATGTACTGTGTAATTAATTTAACGGTCAGATGGAGTAGTCCCAAGCTTTTGGTTTTTGTTAAATTCTTGGAATGGAGAATTGGTGATACCTAAACAAATAGTTAAACTAGCCCAGCCAGCGTGGCTCAGTGGTTGAATGTCGACCTATGACGGTTCAATTCTTGGTTCGATTCCCAATCAGGGCACATGCCCAGGTTTTGGGTTCGATCCCCAGTGTGGGGCGTGCAGGAGGCAGTTGATCAATGATTCTCATTATTGATGTTTCTATCTCTTTTTCCCTCTCTGAAATCAATACAAAAAAAATATTTTCAAATAGTTAAACTAAACTCTGGGCTACTTTTCAGTATGTTAAGCGAATACGTGGGGGTTTTTGTTACTGTTTTTACTTCATGGAAGAGAGGCAAAAATTAGATATCTAATCATTTTATACTCTTGGTCTATTCTTTATCAACCAAGGCTCATTTATTACTTATCAGTAGCTATTAAAGACACTGTTTGAATTGGTGGAATTTTTTTCTTTGAAATAACAGAAGCTCATTTCATATTTTCTCTCATTAAATAACTGTACTTACTTCAAATTCAACCTGCAATACTTTATTTTCTTATGAAGCCAATGAAATAGTCATTAATTATTAATAACACTGTCTCCTTAATAAATAGCTAATTGTCACTCCTTAAGTAAATATCAGTAGATAGAACTAATTTTTGTTGCCAGTGATTTTTTTTTTTTTTTGGAACTTGGAAATTTATAGTGTCACTTTAGGAAGTATAAGGGATTTATTATCACTTATTATATATGTGATACCACCACAGATCCAACCTCCCTTAATAAAAAAGAAACATTTGAAATAGCTGAGACATGTTTCTATTTCCTTAGGAAACAGAAGAAAGCTAAGAATTGTTTATCTTATATTTTTAATGGCTGCTATAAACTATTGGCATTTTTCTTCTGTTGTTGTTAAACCAGTGGTCATGGGCCAGTTTATGTGTAGAAAAATGAAAGCCCAAGAGTATTATTTAGCCTTTTTGTCCTCCTAAACTTGTCTGTGTAGAGAAGAGAGATGGTAAACCGTTCATGTCTGCCATTGTTCGCTCAGAGTCTCCAGCACCTAGTTCCATGTCTGGCTCATACTACTCACTCTTGAACAGAACTTAACAGCCAGAAAAATGTATCTAATCACAGCTCTGGACAGGGCTTGCATATGTCTGTCTGTCTATGTGTGGGTCTTTCCCTCTCCCCTCACTCATCTTCCCTTATCCCTCCTCTCTCTCTCCCCCTTAGATACATACCCCTTTAATGGGTTCTTTTTATGTGTTTATTGATTGAAGTCCAGACCCCTTAGCCTGCTATTGCCTTTGCTGTTGCTTTCTGTCTTTTCCAAATGTCTATCAACCCCACTGTGTATGTACTGTGTTCTAAAAAAATCAAATTATATTCTTTATTTCCCACAAATACCCTGAGTTGTTTAAACCCT